GGCTTCTCTTTCTACTGTACACACCTGTAGCTGAGGCCTCTACCCAAAATCTTTTAAGTAGTTGACCTCCAATCAACATTGACCTTACTGACTCCATTAAAGTCCTATTCAAATGCTCTGCAACCCCATTTTGCTGAGGCATATTGGGAATAGTAAGCTCATGCTCTACCCCTTCACTCTTGAGATATGCTTCAAACGTATGGGAAGTGTACTCTCCACCATTATCAGTGCAAAGAGTTTGTAATATCTTACCAGTACATTTCACTACCATTATCTTTTATTCTAGAAAACGCTCAAACACCCCTCTTTTGTTTTAATATGTACACCCAAACATATCTAGTACTGTCACCAACGAATGTCAGAAAGTACTCACCTCCACTGAGTGATTTGCTATTCACCTTTGCACAGACATCAACTGTAGTTTCTCTTCAGCTCTTTTACCAGTAGTAGAGGGGAACAGTGTACGATCGAGCTTTCCTTTTATACAGGATTCAGAGTTCCACTGCATTGGATAGATCATCACTGCTCATCCCTCTAACTAGTCCATCCTTAGCCAGCTTCTTCAGACATGTGATACCCAGGTGACTGTATCTTCGATGCCAAATATTGACTCCGGTCCTGGTCTTGGCAGTGTTTACCCTCTGTTTAACACTATAGCTCTCACTGTCCAGATATTATAGACTACCATCTTTAGTGGCTGATCCTACCACAACTCCTTCGCTAATAATAATACAGGTTGAATCATCAAAGGTCAGTACCTTTCCATATTCTGCTGCTTTAGCAATACTGTGGAGATTGAATGATAAATCGGGTACAAATAGAACGTCATGTACTGTACAGTCTCTGTACAAACTATCCCTGTGTGAGCTTCACTTTTACTGTAACACAAATAGCTGACATGATAATACGACCGTCTCCTAGAGTAATGTCTTGACTTGACTCTAGCTCATCAAACAGCTTTTGGTTACAGCAAGTATGGCATGTTGCTCCAGAATCGAGAATGCATTTCTCTGAGAAATTGTCCCAATTAGCAAGAAGTGCGTGTGTGGCTATGAGGCCAACACTAGCACCATGTTTCTGATTTTGCTTACCCTTCAGGTGTACACTGCTGGGTCTCTGGCTTCCAGCACTAGGAACAGCATCTCCTCTTCTTTCGGCTTCGAGTTTATCACAACAGTCTCTTTGCATGTGTCCCAGTCTCTTGCAATAGTGACACCGTATACTCTGCTTCCTTTTCTCTGCTGGCTGTGATCTGTCCGATGATGAAGACCCTTAGCTCCACTGCTGCTTTCACGCTCCTTTATTATCCTCTCTTCATAAGATAATTGATCTATGACCACCTCCATCGTCGGGACCGTCTCGTTTGCCTCCAAGGCAGTTCCGAGAGTGTCATAGCTCTCTGGTAGGCTAGCAAGCAAGTGGACTACTTTGTTCGCATCAATGCATCATCCAGTGGTGCTCAAATGATGGTTAGACCATTGAATACCTCTGTAATCTTTTTGACATGATCTTGTACCGACTTTCCAGCTACTAAATGTAGCGTATGAAGTTTTCGATGGAGTATGAGCTTATTTATCCAGTTCTTTTGAAACTGGTCTTTGAGCTTTCTCCAGACCTCAACAGCCTCCTTCGGCTCCCCTAACAGATACAGCAACGATGTATCAATGGAAAGAACCATTGTTTCTAGAGCACGATCCTTCCTGGCTTCATACTTCTGCTTTGTAGCATCATCAGCATCATCTGCTGGCAGTACTTTAGTAGAATTAACGATGCTCCACAGCCCTTTTTTCATCAGAGCAATCTGATATTGTAGCTTCCATGAAGTACTGTTGCCACTGATTAACGGAACTAAGTTTACAGTCCTTGATTCTGCATCATGCTGGGCTCATAACCTGTTAAGATATTGGAATTGGCATGGATAGGCAGACTGTAGTTGACAATAAATATGATGTAAACTCAACTTAAGACCAAGAGGAGAAACAAAAAGGGAGAGAAAGAGAAAACACCAGAGCCAAGAGAGCATCAAAGAGAGAACAATATAACGACTGAAACAGAACAAATCAATAACAAGAGATAGTTACAGACAAAATAGACTGTGCATGCATCACAACTTATATAACACCTATAACCACAAGTATGAATAAGGAAACCACAAACTAAAAATACAATATCAATAATTAGGATAGATAGACAAGTGTACATTATATTACTATTATTTCTAACAGTATGTGTGCTATAAGATTTAGATTGTGCAAGATAGCCTAACTAATGGAGTTCAGTTTCGAATGCAAGAAGGTCGCTGGTTCGAATCCACTCGAGCCTTTTTTTTCTTTTACCTGATTTATTTTTGTGTTAAGAAATAAATGCCAGGACATTTAATGGAGGAAATACTATAAATTTCATTTTCTTAGTTATTATTAATGTTACTTATTTTAATAACATTTTCAAGCCCTAACGCTTCTTGAAAAATATAAATGAATAACACTGAATGATCATAGCTTTATCCTTTTGCTTTCTTTTTTCTGATCCAATAAATAGAAAATGATAATGTGTCGTTGGATAGTTTGTTATTCTCCTTGTGTTATATTCATTAATTTTATCTCCACCTTCATGTCTCCCACATATAGCCACTGCTCGTCCCAGCATCTGGGTATCTATATCATACTTTACTTCTTCCTATCTTAATTTTTATTCCATATTTGTAGTACACATATCTTAAACTAAATTGAATTACTTTCTTTTAGGCACACTGAAAATCACAACGGTGTATGGTGTCATTATGATGTTTAGCATGAATAATATATATCTTTGTCTATATACCATTGTGGCTATCTGCAATGCATAATCTCACTTATGAACCTCATCTCAAGCTTCCAGCCTCCTCATATTTTATGACTAATGATTAGATTATCCTTTGTGACCATAATTGACAAAAGGAACCTTATGGCGGATAGGAAAATTGGTCTTTACAGCCTCAAAAATCCAACTTCTTGAGCTTCATTTATCATACAATACTTCAGAGGATGCAATGTTATTGTGTAACTTCTAGAAACAATGATTGTCTAATGAAGCATTCACAGGTTAATATTTTTTCACAACAATGATGAATTTCAAAATCCGCCATAACGTACCTTTTGTCAATTATGGTCACATTTTATATTTTTTAGTTTATTGCTACACATAAGGAATGTGAAAGCAAGTGAACTTCTTGTCTCAGAATCTTTTGAAACAAGTACAGTGCATGGCAATTCACTAGCGTCTCCAATGGGGGGCTCATGGGGCTAGTGCACCCCCTCATACAGATGGAAAATTTTTTGTGACATTTTGCTTACATAAATGTTCCAAAAAGAACCAGAGCTCACCTTTATACTCAAGAAATAAGTAGTTTTACTCAGGAGTAAGCCATAACAGAAAGGTTACGATCAATTGAGATATGATTCTATTCCACTGGGGCTATATTTAAAATTAAAATGGGTCTGAC